GTTGGGGGCGAGCCTGGTCTTTGGGCTCACGTTGTGTTTGGACGGGCAGGTGGGGTGTTCAGGGCCCAGCTGCTGACACCTGATCCCGCCCTGGCCAGGTGGGAGGACGGAGATTGGCGTCTGGCCCCTGAGATGCCCAAGATAACCAGTCAAGGAGATAACCAGAGTCAATCCCAGTCGAGTTGGGTGATAGGCTGAGATAACGCACCGAGCCGCTGAGGCAGATCCTGTCTGGAGACACTCGGGCACCTTGATCGCAGGCAGGCCTGGCCTGGCGGGGGGCGGGGGCGAGTGGGCACCAACCTCGGCGTTTCCGTGGCTCGGAGCTTCCGTGCCCTTCAGCTTGCTCTGCTGTAGTTTTGTTTTTGGGTCACACCTGGACGTGCTCCGGGGTCACTCCTGGCTTTGCACTCAGGACTTACTCCTGGAGGTGCTCGGGGGTCCCTATGGGATGCCGGGATTGAACCCGGGTCAGTTGTGTGCAAGGCAAATGCCCTCCGCGCTGTACTAGACTTCTGGCCCCAAGGCCCAAAACTTAAAGAAAAATCCTTGCTGGGGTTTCCCCGTCCCTGGCGCCCTGTAAGCCTCGTGGGTCTGCACACGGCTTGTGCGACTGCCTCGAGTGGCCAGTGAGAAGGGCGCCCGCGTGTCCTCCTGCTCCCCAGGGCTGCTCTCTGCCTGGTGCTCCCGGCCCTGCAGCCCTCAACTCCTGCCCTGTGTTCACTCCTCCTTTCTGTGGTGTCCCCCTCCTCTCTCGGTGGCCCTCCCCCTGGGGTCACCCCCTTCCTGCGTGGTGCTGGGACAGTAGAGCTGCCGGGTTTGTGCCAGGTGCACGGTTGACCCCGGGGGCTTGGATTCAGGACCTCATGCTTGTGAGTCAGTGCTCAAAACCCCCTCTCGTAAATTCCTCCCCTCCAAGCTGAAGGAATGGACTTGACCCATGTTTAGTCTCACACTTCTGCTTCCTGCCGAATCACTGCCGGCCGCTAGCAGGCCAGGACCCATGTGCCACGCCTGTGTGAAGCAGGGACGTTCCAGGGCATGAGCCTGCTAGCATCTTTGTCATGGAGGGGTGGGGGCTTGTTCAGGCCGGAGACTCTACTAGGCTCACACACGGCACTGTGTGTTCAAGTCTCAGGGAGACAGTGAGGCTCAAACACATTTTGTTTTGCGCTGTTTTTCTCTCTTCTTTTTTTTTTTTTTTGACTTTTTGGGTCACACTCAGTGATGCTCAGTGTTGCCTACTGACCAAGTAAAAGAATGCTTGATTTTTCATTCCCCCTTTGTCCCGCACAAAGCTGGGCAACCTCCGAGTACAGGAGGTTTCAGTTTGGGGAAAATGCACCCTCGTAAATGATTTGTAAATTGTGTATGAGGAACAGCACAATCTTTGCAGATATGTCAAAGCTATATCAAAGCAGGTCGTTCTGACCAATAGCATTATGCCGAAAGGGTCACCAGGTGGCTGACCAACTGTGCATGGCTCTGCTCATTGTCGCACCCACTTTCCCACGTCCCATCCCCTTTCCTTCTTTTGGGTGGGCTGTGGAAACATACTTAAGTCTGTACTTATGCTCTGAATAAACGCACGCATTCATGCCATCTCCTGAATGACGAACCCTGTGTGACTCGAGTGCTGATTTCATCCTGACGGCCCTCCCCTGGCTCGGCCCCGCAGCGCCAGACCTGGCACTCAGGAATTACTCCTGGCAGTGTTCAGGACTGGTGATTGAATCTTGGTCAGCCGTGAGCAAGGCAAACCCTTCCCCAATGTGCTCTCACTCCAGCCCCTCCTTTTGCATCTTTTTGTGTTTTTTCAGAATTGATTGATTGCCACGTAGGGTTTGCTGGCCCTGACGTTCTCTGTAGAGTCCCTTGTTGCACACTGTGTTTCGTGGGCACCTTGACATGAAGACTGGCGCTTGCCTGGTGCATGGCTGACCCCATAGGTCCCCTGAGCAGCGCCAGGAGTGATTTCCGAGTGCAGATGCAGGAGTAACCCTGAGCACTGCCAAGTGTCCCTAAAAACAAAAGGAAAGAAAGAAAATAGGTATCCTTGCCCGGAAGGGTAGCCCAGGGCCAAGGAGCCTGCCTTGCCTGTGGCTGACCCCACCCCACCCTGTACATCCCTCCCCACCCAGGTCCTGCCAGGATGAGCTCCCATGACTGGATCAGAGTCAGCCCTGAGCACCATCAGATGTCCCGTCCTCAGGCCCCAGGTTAGGTCACTCCGTACTCCCCACCTCCCCCCCACTCCCCGGTTCCCGCTCACTCATCCTCGAGGGGACCCGCACTCATTCAGCTTGTGCTCCCATCAGGAGCAGGCCAGGCCATACTCCTCTGTACATCTCTCAGGCCTTATTGGGCTGGGCCACTCCCTGGCCACGGTGCGGCCGGTGTTGCTCACAGCACTGGGGTCACAGAGAGCAGGGCTGTCAGGGTCGGGCTCAGGGCCTCTGCCCTGTCGCTCTGCCCACCCGCCCCCCCCCCCCCCCCCCCCCGGCTCACAGATTTCCTGGCCCGGCTCCTGAGGAGGGCCCTGGGCAGGGTCACTGGGTCCAGGTCCCACTCGGGGGATGCTGAATGACCTCAGTTGGAGATCTGTAACTGACAAACATTTGTCAAAAGTTTTCTGAAACCACTTTCACAGGGCCCGCGGATCCAGAACTGGGCACTGCAGGGACCAGAGGCTCGTTGGCCATGTAGTGCTGACGTCTGCAGGGCAGCCCTCCGGAGCCTCAGCCAGACACTGACATCTCGAAGGGTGGCGCCTGCCCCTTTAAGAATGGCCCATGATGCCCTCCTCCTTGCTGAATTCTACTTCTACCTCAGAACATTCTAGACTCTAACTGCCATTTTCAGTCTCTCCACGAGACTGGCACGAGCCTGTTTGGCAGAGCTCAGTACTGAAGCTGCGAGTGCAGTGTGACACAGGTGAATCTGAGTCTCTGGGCTTTCTGCCCGCGTGGGGGCGGCTTTTTTCTCTAACAGTTCTTTAGTGTATGATAGTTTTTAATCTTTAGTTAGTTTAAGTTTTTTTACTAGTTATATATATATTTTTGGGTGGGGTGGGGTGGCCATACCTGGCTGTGCCCAGGGGTGACCCTGGCTGGCTAACGTCCCTGTGCTGATGGAGATCGAGCCCCGGACAACTGGATATAAGGCAAGTGCCCTCCCCACTATCCTGCCTCTCTGCCCCTTGCGGACTTCTCTATTGAAATATGGAATGACTCTGAAGTCAGTGGGCCCTCATGGGGGGCTGATGAGAAGCAGAGGAGAAGATCTCACTCCACTGGGACTGGCTGGAGCGCTGGCACTGCTGAGTGCGATGAGCCCCGCCAGCCCCACGACGCCCACTAGGCCTTCCCGGGGTCTTGGGCCGGAGTGAGGGGTTGCCCTTTTCAGGGAAAGGGAGTCGATCCTCGACCTCCTCAGGCCCCCGGGCCTTTGTCCTCCTAGCAGAAAAGCATTTCAGGAGATGAGCATGAAGCAGAAACATTTTATTTGGAGGCCTTAAGGAAGGGGAAGGAGGGAGGGAGTAACACGCTCGAGAGAGAGTGCGGCTTCTCCAGAGGTGCGGAAAGCCACTGAACATGTTATGTTGCTAGGTTGCATTCGGTCTGAAAGTCCACACCTCAGGAGGGGAGAAGCCCGTGACATGATGGACCTCATAGGCAAGAGCAGTACCTGGGCTCGGGCACACATGAGCGCCCTCCCTTGGTTCAAGGTGGCTAATCTAGGGATTTCCCCAGGCTGCCCCTGGTGGGAGTTTCTAGCTACCTAGAGTCCGTTGCTAGGGTGGTTGCCAACGGGGTAGAGTTGAGTGGTCCATGGTCCTCTTAGAAATTCCTTTCCTGCCCTTTGTTCCTATTCCCTCGGGGGGTCCAGCCTGCTCTGGGCCTCATAGGTAAAGGTAAAGGCCCTCCCGTTGATCGTCGATTTGCTCGAGCAGGCCCAGTAACGTCTCCATTGGAGACTTTGTTGTTACTGTGTCTGGCATATCGAATACTCTCGGTAGCTTGCCGGGCCTCATAATGTGGGTTAATTTTGACAAGACCTTGGGTCCCGTGCACTCAGGTAGTCTTTTGGTGGCCATGAAGCTTTTGTTGACTTTCTCGGAGTTCCATCGCCATGGGGACGCTTCCCCCATCTACCTGTCTGCCTCAGTTCTATGGGTTAAGAAATGGAGTTAATACTGGCTTGTGGTTATCCAACCTGGGCAGCGTCACAAGGAATGAAGGAAATGCCGAAAACTCCTTCGCTCCCCTTTGGCACATTTTTTTTTTCTTTTTGGGTCACACCTGGTGATGCACAGTGTTTACTCCTGGGTCTGCACTCGGGAATCAGTCCTGGCAGTGCTTAGAGGACCATATGGGATGCTGGGAATCGAACCTGGGTCGGTCGCGTACAAGGCAAATGCCCTTCCCACTGTGCTATCGCTCTCCAGCCCCCATTTGGCGCAGTATTGCTGGGCTCTTTTCCCTTGCAGTTCTCAGCCCATAGAAAAAAGTGTGCCTGTTGCTTGCCTTAGCTTCTACGTGTAACTCCGGGCCTCTCACACATGTACATACGCACACACGCACACACAAGACCAGCCATCACTGCTGAGTCGCCTGCCGGCTCGTCAGTGTCTGGACGGGGAGGTGGTCAGTGACACTCGCGGTGCTCAGTGATGATTTCTGGCTCCTGAATATGTTTGGTGGTGGGAGTGATGGCAGGGAGGGCGCGAGGGTCAGCTGCCCGCAGGGCTAGTACCTGTCCCCTCTGCTCTCTGGCCCCGAATCGGCAGTTGTTTGTTTGTCTGTTTTGGATTGAGTTTTTGCGCAGGAATGACACTTGGTGGGCTCAGGGGGCTGTGCGGGAGAATGGGGGTCGCACTCGGGGTGGCGAGTGCCAGACTGGCAGCTCTCTGGGCTCCGGAAGCTGCTGTGGTCGCTCGCCTGAGACAGACTCTCTCCTCTGCTCTTCAGAGATTTAGTCCTGAGAACGAGTGTGCCTCAGAAGGCCCCGCAGTGGGCTCGATGGTCGGGGCCTGGTAGTGGCCGCGGCAGCGTCTGACCGCCTGACCATGAGTCTGCTGAGGCCCAGCGGGCTGAAGGCCCCCACCAAGATCCTCAAGCATGGGAGCTGGGCCCTGAAGGCACCCTCGGCCGGTAAGTGCGCTCAGCCCAGGCCAACGGAGACTCATTCCCACCCGGGAACCCCATCCCGAGTCCTCGCCCGGGAAGGGCTCCCTGAGCTGTAGACACGTCCGTGGCTCTGGGGACAGCTCTCACACACGAGTGTCACGTTCTGTGAGTTTAGTGTCACGGCAACCGGTGAGGGCTGAGGCGACCAACACGCTCCCTTCTAACTGGTAGCTCCCTTGCCCAGGCTTGGGGACAGGCTTAGGGAGGTGGACTCACCTGGACTAGAGGGCCTCATTGCCGGCCAAAGCCACAGTACAGTGGGGAGGGCAACTGGCACCCCATGTGACTCTCCACCCTCAACCTCACCATGAGTAACCCTGAACGGAGAACCAGAAATAGGCCCTGAGCATTGGCTGGGTTGCTCCCCGCCCAAAAGAAAAAGAAGATGGGCCAGTGGACACAGCAGAAATAAGACACTGGGTTCGAGCTTTCACCTGGCTTGGTCCGTAGTATCACGGGGTGTATCCAAAGATTTCCCCTGAGCTGCCCAAAGTATGACTGCGGCCTGGGATGCTGCGGTAGGTGAGCACGTCCGCTTCACGGCTGGCCCGGCCAGGCTTCGCCACAAGCAGCCCCCGTCATTGGCTAGGAGTAGCCCCGAGCACTGCTGGGTGTCCCTCCCCCCAACCACACTTTAACTGGACCTGCACAGGCCCTTCCTGTCCCTTCTGACCCTTTTGACCCTTTCTGCTGTTCCAGCGGCTGCTCCCGTTGAGAAGACCGTGCCTGGGGAGAAAAGCCCCAGCGCCCCCTCCTCGGAGATGCAGGAGGAGTTTGTGGGCGACTTCCAGGTCGGGGAACGAGTCTGGGTGAACGGGAACAAGCCTGGATTCATCCAGTTCCTCAGGGAGACCCAGTTTGCCCCTGGTCAGTGGGCCGGGATCGTCTTGGACGAGCCCATCGGCAAGAACGACGGCTCGGTGGCGGGTGTGCGCTACTTCCAGTGCGAGCCGCTGAAGGGCATCTTCACCCGGCCGTCCAAGCTGAGTAGGAGCTTGCAGGCCGACGATGAGACCAACTGCCGGCAGCCAGCGCCTGCCGCCTGGGCCACCCCGCCCCTGTCGGCCTCCCCGGCCCTTGCCGGCACCGCGAATGTGCCCCAGTCCCCCGCGAAGGAGTCAACGGCCACCCCTCACATCAGCAGCCTGACCAGGACGGCCAGCGAGTCCATCTCCAACCTCTCTGAGGCCTGCTCCCTCAAGAAAGGGGAGCGGGAGCTGAAGCTCGGGGACCAGGTGCTGGTGAGTGCCGAGGGCAGCGGTCGCGGGTGGCTGTCCATTCTCCTGTCTGGTTCATCAGCTCCTCCAGACTCGCGGTTTGGGTGGAAGCACGAGCAGCCGGGACGCCTGGTCCTGCAGTTTCCAGCGTGATGGATGCGTACGGGGATGCTGCCAGTTTTACCAGTTTAGCCAAAACAGGGTGGAGGGGTCATGCCGTGGGGAGAGGTCATGCTTTGCACGCCTCTGACCCGGGGTTTAAGTCTTGGTCCCATGTACAGTCCCCCAAGCACATCCCGGAGTGATCCGTGAGCACCAAGCCAAGAGTAAGCCCTGAGCACTCTGAATGTGACTCAAAAACAAACCAATGAACAAAGTTGGAAATCGGTTCTATTTCTCTGGTTTTCGATGTTTTTGCTTGGGGCGTCACAGGGTGGTCGCACACAAAGCACCCTTCCCCCGGTGCTCCAGCCCTGTTTGTCAGCATTCCTGTCAGTGTCCAGCGCTGTGATTCTGTTTTGCTCTGTGTCCCGGGAACCAAGTGTCAAGCCAAGGCATAGTGAAGGAGAACTGGAAGATCGAACTCTGTTAAGATACGAGAACAGTCATTTTCCTTTAGCTGGTTTCTGGCTTAATTGTTCTCCAGCGGTGGGGTTGCCAGTGCTCCGCTCCCACACCCAAGGGGCAGCGACCCCCTCGCCACACCAGGTGGCTGGCCTGGGTCAGAGATTCCCGGGCGTGTGGTCAGCCAGGCCACCGGTGACAGCGAGTGGGTGTGAATGCCGCTGCCTTGCATGGACACTGAGCAGCAGCGTCTGCTCACCCTGTAGGGGTTGCGGGGGGAAATGGCACTTTGACCTTTGGGGTTTCTTCAGGAAATCCCGCCTCTGAAGCCAGAATGTTCGTTTGCGGGGGTGGGGGCGCTGTGCGCAGTCCAGGGTGCCTGACCCACGTCCCTCCATCCCTCCGGCAGGTGGGAGGCATGGAGGCCGGTGTGGTGCGCTTCCTCGGGGAGACGGACTTCGCCAAGGGGGATTGGTGCGGCGTAGAGCTGGAGAAGCCACTGGGCAAGAACGATGGTGCTGTGGCCGGAACGAGGTGGGTCCCCCTGCCCCCCCAGAGAGCCTGGGGCCATGCACGGTGCCCGGGAGGCGCTGAGGGGACTGCAGGCCACTTCACTTGGTTCTTAGGCGGGGCTACTTCCAGTGGCACTCGGGGACCCTGCAGGGATGTGGGGACAGCCTGGGGCCTCCATATGCAGCTGTGCTCGGGCCGCAGGAACCCCCCGGGCCTGCTGTCGCCCTTCAGATGCCGGGGAGGCTGCTTGGAATCGCCCTTGGTTTGCGTGGTGGGGGTGGGCGGCATGCGAGCGAGTGTGGGTGTGAATGTATGAGGGAGTGTGTATGTGAGCGTCTGAGTGTGGGGCTGTGAGAGTGTTGGTGGGGGCGTGGGCATGAGAATGTTGGTGGGGGTGTGAGCGTGTTTGTGGGGGAATGAGAGCATGTCAGTGTTGGTTTGAGAGCGTGCAAGTGTTGGTTGGGGTGTGCGTGTGTGTTACTGTGGGGCTGTGGGTGTGTGGAAGTGTTGGTTGGGGTGTGAGTGTGTGTGGATGTGGGAGTGTCGGTGGGGTGTGAGTGTGAGTGTGTGTTGGTTTGGGTGTGAGTATGTGTGTTTCTGGGGAGTGAGTGTGTGTGAGTGTGGGGCTGTGGACATGTGGGAGTGTCTGTTGGGGTGTGAGTGTGTGTGTTTGATGGGGAGGGAGTGTGAGAGTATGGGAGTGTTGGTTGGGGTGTGAGTGTGTTTGTTGGGCTGTGAGAGTGTGGAAGTGTGGGAGTGTTGGTTGGGGTGTGAGTGTAAGTGTGTGTTGGTTGTGGTGTTTATGTGTAGGAGTGTTGGTTGGGGTGTGTGTGTGTTTGTTAGGTTGTGAGTGTGTGTGAGTGTGGGCTGGTGGACGGTATGATGTTTGTTGGGGAGTGAGTGTGAGTGTGGCGCTGTGGAAATGTGGGAGTGTTGGTTGGGGTGTGAGTGTGAGTGTGTTTGTTGGGGTGGGAGTGTGAGAGTGTGGGAGTGTTGTTTGGGGTGCGTGTGTGAGTGTGTTTGTTGGGGTGTGAGTGTGTGGGCATGTGGGGCTGTGGGAGCGTGTTCGTTTGTGGGGGTGTGAGACTCTGGGACTCAGTGGACTTCTGGGTCGGCGCTTATGTCTCTTGCCGAAGGTGTTTTTGTCCCCCCCTCCTCGTTGTCTGCAGGTACTTCCAGTGTCAGCCCAAGTATGGCTTGTTTGCTCCCATTCACAAAGTCATCAAGATCGGCTTCCCTTCCACGACGCCGGCCAAGGGCAAGGTGGCCGCCGTGAGGCGTGTGATGGCCACCACCCCCGCCAGCCTGAAGCGCAGCCCTTCGGCCTCCTCGCTCAGCCCCGTCAGCTCCGGGGCCTCATTCGAGAGCAGCAGACCCGGCCGCACGGGACTAGTAAGCAGCCCCCCACCACTGCGGGGTGCTCGGGCCCCCACAGACTCCCACAGCCCCAGGGGCAAGAGGCGGAGCAGGAGCACGTGGGCTGAGCAGCTCCGGGTGGCAGGCGAGTGGCTTCCCAGCCACCACCAGTGACAGGAGCAGGGATGGGCCTTTCCTGGGGTGCTCAGGGCTCCTCTCTGGCATCAGGCCACCTTAGGGATGAAGTGGGGTAGCTGAAGGGGTCGCCTGAGGGTCAGAGCAGGGCCCAGAGACTCTGGGGAACGCTTGGCCCTTCATCTTGCTTCTTTGCTCTCTCCGTCTCTCCCTGCTCCCTCCTGTCCCTCTGCACCGCTGTCCACATGCAGAGTGGCCTCGACTTCTGTCCATTGCGGTGCCGCAATTCAAAGCTGGGGCCTCGTGGCTTCTCCCCTCACGTCTATCTGAGTCATAAACACTAAAGTGTGTCTGAATATGCAAGGGTGCCCTGAGATATTGTCCACAGGGAAACGGGCCCACGATGGAGAGGGTGTCCTGGGGGGCTGGCTTTGCTGGGGGCTGCGCTTCCTGCCGCCGCCTCTGCTCCGTGCATTGACCCTCGATGCGGAAGAGGAGGGAGTGAGTGTGTGTGCAACGGAAGATACAAAACAGATGACACGGGAACGGGAGCCAGGAGGCCACGGGCCGTGGGCACAGGCCTGGGGCCAGTCCTGTCTTGCTCGACCACCACCAGGTTTCCCTGCCCCACGTGCATCCGCACGTCCGACTCCTCCTTCCCTTCGCCTCACCATTTAGGAGGAGAGCAGACTCAGAAACCCCTCTCCTTCCCTCGCGAACCAGCCCGTTTGTGGAATTTGGTTTTGTTTTTCTGCTTGACTGTGGGCCATACCCTACAGTGCTTCAAGGGGCCATTTGCAGTGCTGGGCTTGTGCCGGTGCCTCCCACCTCCAAGCAAGAGCCCTACGCCTGAGACGTATCTCCAGCCTCCCCCCGATATCTTGTTTTGTTCTGTTTTGGGGTCACACTTGGCAGAGCTCAGGGCTTTCTCCCACCTCTGTGCTCGGGATTATTCCTGGCGGGCCTCCGGGATTGAGCCTGGGCAGCGCTGGGGCTTCGCTCTCCAGCTCTTTGGCCCCTGCCTTGCATATCTTTATGCAGGGTGGAGCTCACTCCTAAACTGAACATCACCGTTAGCGTCTATGACAGGAATATAGAAAGATTCTGTGTGACTTCACGGAAGTATACCTCGACAACATAATTCCATAAGTGCACACACAAGCGTTCATACACACAGTCACTCATACATGTACACGCAGTGCATACTGTATATACACAGGCTTATGGGTATACACACACAGGCACATACATGCATAAACACAACGTGCGCATGCACACAGGTGCGTGTAGATATGCCCACCCGAACATACATGCACGCATACATACATGCACACGGGTCCGTGCGTGCCCTGTGGAGGCCTCCCTGTTCGTCTGTTGGCTGAGTTGCTCTTCTGAGGTACCAGGCTCCCACAGAAGGCCTGGCCTTGCTGGGATGGAGCCTGGGGCCTCACAAACCACGCGCAGGGCAGAGGCTTTGGCATCAGCATCCTGAGTTCAGCTCGTGGCCCCGACCTTGCCTAGCCCCTCAGCACGTGCCTCCCCCTATGCTAGGGGTGCTGCTTTCTCCGTGCTCCGGCGCCTGAACCTCACAGTCTCGTCGCCATAGTTGGCTGAACGAAGCCCATCGCTCCTGTGCTGGTTTCCTCAGGGAGATGTCTCAGGCCCAGGAAGCGCGTGCGTCTGGCCTGCTCCACCCGCTCAGGCCAGGAGGCTCAGGGCACACCGCCTCCCGCCTTTCCTAGTTTTTATTTTTGCTCTTTGGGGTTCACCTGGCAGTGCTCAGGGACTCCAGGCGTGGTGCTTGGGGGCTGCTCCCGGTGGAGGGGGGTTGAGCCCGGGTCTTGTTGTTAGACCCCCAAGGCTGCCAAGCTCTTCCCAGCCACCCCTTGAATTCCGAGTTGACTGCAGTTCCCGGGAGCACTGCACATGGCTGGCCGGAGAGCTCGTGTGCTCCTAGAAACTTTAGTTATTATTTGGTTTTGGGGCCACACCCAGGGGTGCTCAGGGCTTATTCCGGGCTCTCTGCTTGGGGGGTGGCGTCACTCCTGATGGTGCTGGATCTTGAACCTCTGCAAGCACCTTCCCCCACCCCCCCCAACAGACTCTTTGGCCCTGGGGAGGGCATTTAATCGGACCAGATATACTTTAAGTGTATCGGGAAATCACGGCCTGGTCCTTACGCACAGGCAAGCATGATCCCGCTCTTCGGACAGAACCAGGTGGCTCGAGAGCTCCCAGCAGGCAAAGCAGCAGTGGACAGCCTGGGCCCTGCTGGGCCCTTCGGTCAGGAGGCGTTTGGCAGCAGCTCAGATGATGCGGGGAAGCGGCAAGAGAACCTGCGGCTGGACCACAGCAGGGCGATGGAACAGGGATGGCCGGGCAGAAGGAGCGGAAGTCCTGGCCATCGCCGCTGCAGCCCCCGCCACCATGTGCCCGAAGAATGAAGATCAGGTCCCGCCTTGTCCCCTCCTGCAGGGGCCGTTGTGCAGAGAGGGATCTGGGTCTGCAGAGCGACCACGAGTGACCACGAGCCCTGGATAGAACGGACAGGACCCCCGGTCCCCGCAGCCCTTCAGCCCACTCCCCTCCCCTCCTCACTGTCTTTGCCTCTTCTCTCCTTCCCTTTGTGCTTGGTCTTTCCCTGAGCTGCCCTTGCTGTCCTGCTCGCTGGGCTTGAGCCCTCACACATTCGAACCCACCACTTTTTCCTTTTTTTTTCCCTGGACTTTGGCCATGCCCCAGCAATACTCAGGACTTACTCTGGACTCTGCACTCAGGAGTCACTCCTGGTGGGCTCGGGACCCTATGGGGTGGGTACCTGTTATCCAGCTCGGGTCAGCGGCGTGCAAGGCCAGCGCCTTTCCCGCAACTTTATCATTCTAGCCTCTCATCCCCCATTTTCGAAGGCAGATGGCACAGGGGTCTTTTATAGGGTCACACCCAGTGACCCCCGGGGGCACGGGGCCATTCCCAGAGACAAGAGTCTCTGGTTACTGCTATTCAGGCATGGGGCGGGTGCCCGGGAGAGCGAGGTGAGCTGGAAGGAAGAGGAAGAGAGAAGGGACAGGCTGCAATGGGAGACCCTGACAGACCTGCAAGGCTGAAGATGCTGGATCCGGCCTCAAGCTCAAGCCAAGGGCTCAGCCTTAAGGAAGATCAGGCCAGAACGGGCTGTGGAGGGGGCTGCCTCCGGCTCTGCAGAAGAGTCTCTGGATTCCCACGAGGCCCGAGGTCAGTGGAACCCAGGTCCCGTCCAAGGATCTTCGGGAAGGTTTCAAGAGGTTTCTGCTGAGAGTCGCTGGCCCGTATGCAAGGATGCAGCACTGCTCCATGTGCTTTGCCGAGGATCACCATGTGCATGCCCGTGTCGGCCGCCCCCCTCCCCTTCACGTCTCTTTTTCCTTTGCAGTTCCCGGAAACCTCCTCCCGCTACGCGCACAAGATCTCCAGCACCACTGCCCTCCAGGAGGCGCTGAAGGAGAAGCAGCAGCACATTCAGCAGCTGTTGGCCGAGCGGGACCTAGAGCGGGCAGAGGTGGCCAAGGCCATGAGCCACATGGGGGAGATAGAGCAGGAGCTGGCCCTGGCCGGAACGGGCACGACCAGGTGACATCTGTGCAGACGGCATTGCCGGGGCCGAGAGACGCCTGCGGTAGAGGCTGGGCGCGAGCTTGGTGCAGGCGGTGCAGGCAGAGGCCGTGGGTCCCCGTCTGCCGTCGTTGCGGTGGTGTCCGGCGCGTGGTTTGATCTCATGCGCCGTCTGCTCGCCCTGTGGGGGTTTAGGGAGTGCCGAGTTGTCCGCGCCGGTGCTTTCGTTGTGTGCTTCCCCTCTGGCCTTCCAGAAATGCCGTAGCTTAGGTGGGAGATGCATTCAGCTTGCCGTGGTGACAGGTGGCGATGCCAGCCCACAGAGGGCTGTTGGGGGCGGGCGAGGCCACTCACGCGCCGTTGCCTCTACAGCACGTCCTGGAGCTGGAGGCCAAGAACGACGAGCTGCGGGCCATGCTGGAAGCGACCGACTGGGAGAAGGTGGAGCTGCTGAACCAGCTGGAGGAGGAGAAGAGGTGAGGCCGTGCCCGGAGCTGGGGGCTCCCTCGGGTTGGGCACTCCTGGCCTTCCAGGGCTGTGAGAACCAGAAACCAACGGGTGCCCAGTCCTGAGCGCGGCCTCACCGGGAGGGCTGGGGGGGGAGCTCAGTGGAGCCAAGCCACCCCCGACCCTCCCTGCTGTGTCCACCTGGCCTGGTATTCAGGAGGCCTGTGCTGGGTGGCAAGGAACTGTCCTAACCCAGTGGGGCCCTGTGGGAGTCCCTGTGGTTAAATCCCAGGCGGGAGGAAACCCACAGTACCCATGGGGCACGACAGCAGACAGACAGGGCTCAGGCTAGGCTGCAGACAGACGGACGTGGTGCTCAGGCCGGGGTGTAGACAGACAGACATGGGGCTCAGGCCAGGCTGCAGACAGTCGGACGCGGGGCTGAGGCCTGGCTCCAGACAGATGGACACGGGGTGCTGGCCGAGACCGCCTTTTCAGATGGGCTCCCGGCAGTGTGGTGCCCAGGGGCACTGACAGTGCCTGGCTCAGCCCCTCAGCTCCACAGGCCGACTCGACAGTCACTGGGAGCCCCTCCCCCCCCCCCGCCCCCGGCCCCCGAGTCCTTGGCTGCTTCTCCCCCAGGGGCTCAGTTGTTGTCCCAATGTGGGGACAGGCGCTGGCTGGGAGGGACTGGCAGGCGCCGCGGGTCAGTTTTTAACCACCTCTGTTAGCCGCAAGGCAGAAAGGGTTGATATGACACTGCACCTGGCGTTGGCTCGGCCTAGCTTCCTCCTGGAGCCTGCGGGTCCCACCCAGTGCTCGAAGCTGAGGGGACTCGCTGACTTTCTTTTTTTTCTTTTTGGGTCAACCCAGCGATGCTCAGGGGTTACTCCTGCCTCGGCACTCAGGAATTACTCCAGGCATTGCTCCGGGGTCCATAGTGGTATGCTGGGAATTGAACCCGGGTCGGCCACGTGCAAGACAAATGCCCTGCCTGCTGTACTCTCGCTCTGGCCCTCCCCGACTCTCTCAGCCCTCCTGTGTGTGGAGCCGGGGGCTGGGTCAGGCGCATCTACAAGATGGTGGCCCTCATGGGGGGCAGCAGTGACGTCCCTCACAACGTCTCCCTCTCCCCCACAGGAAAGTGGAAGACCTCCAGTTCCGAGTCGAGGAGGAGTCCATCACCAAAGGCGACCTGGAGGTAAAGCCCGGGCAGGTCCCGGAGGCTTGCAGGGTGCAGGCAAGGATGCGGGGCGGCCTGGCCGACCCCGCCGGGACCACTTCTGCTGGAGACTCCTAATCAGACAGGGATACCTGGGGTCATGCACCTGGCAGGGCCCGGCTGACACATCTCTGCTCCTTGGGGCTGGAGGCTGCTCTTGATGAGCGTTTTTCTCTCCTTCTGACAGTCGGGTCTATGCCTTTGCCTCAGCTTTGATTTTCAGTCGAGCAGCACAAATCAAACCCTTTAGAACCCCATTTTTTGGAAGATTTTCCTTAAAACAAGAAGAAGCAAAGAGTCAGTTTGGAAAAGAAAAATTTAGCGGTAGGGCGTTTGCCTTGCACGCAGCCAACATGGCCGACCCGAGTTCGATTCCTCCGCCCCTCTCGGAGAGCCCGGCAAGCTACCGAGAGTATCTCGCCCGCACGGCAGAGCCTGGCAAGCTCCCCGTGATGTATTCGATATGCCAGACACAGTAACAACAAAGTCTCCAATGGAGACGTTACTGGGCCCACTCGAGCAAATCGATGAACAACGGGAGGGCCTTTACTTTACTTTACTTCCTTCCTGTTTTAAGTTCATGGAAATTTTGTTTTCCCACCAGAAGGAGGTGAAGTCCCTGCAGGCGGCCTCTGAGAAGCTCGCCAAGGAGAACGAGTGCCTGAGGACCAAACTGGACCATGCCAACAAGGAGAATGCGGACGTGATCGCCCTGTGGAAGTCCAAGCTGGAGACGGCCATCACCCCGCACCAACAGGCCATGGGCGAGCCGAAGGCATCCGTGAGCCAGGGCGTGGGCGCCGAGGCGGCCGAGCTGGCTGAGCTCAAGATGCAGATCGAGAGGCTACAGTTCGAGTACCAGCAGGAGGTGGAGAGCCTGAAGGCCCAGCAGGCGGCTGAGCGTGCAGCGCACGCCTCTGAGCTGCAGACGCTCAGGTCGCGGCTGTTCAGGACGGCCCAGGAGCAGAAGAACAGCCTGGAGGCCGCACGGGCCAAGCTCGAGCAGATCGAGGACCAGCACCTGGTGGAGATGGAGGACACCCTGAACAAGCTGCAGGAGGCGGAGACGAAGGTAAAGCACCTGGATGGGTTGCAGGCCGTGTGTAGTCAGCAAGCCCAGGCCCTGGCCAATGCCACGGCACAGCTGGAGGCCACCCAGCAGAAGCTCTTGCAGCTCGATGGGCTCTGGAAGGCCAGTTCCAAAGGTCAATTGGGAATGGAGAAGCTCAGGCAGCAGCTCCAGGTGGCTGAGCGGCAGATTCAGGAGTTAGAGAATGCAAAGCGGGCTGAGAGCTGCAGGTTGGTACTCGGGCACCCTCGCCCACTTCCACGCTCGCTCCCTGCATGCTGTGTGTCAGTCTGCTCGCCGCTGTGTTCCGGCTTGGTGCTGACAGGTCTCCCGGTCACGTCCCGTGCGGTTCCCTCTGAGGGAACTGAGAAGGTGTCGGCACGATTCTGGGGCTGTCATTGGTCCCCACCACCCGGATGCCGTGCTAGCCTTGGCCCCCATTGGCCCGTCTGGAGTCTTTCTGAAACACGAAGCCAGTGAGAAAACAAGATAGGAGCCCCCAGAGCAGACCTCTGCCCCCCACCCCTTGGGCCCGCTGCATACTCACCGAGTCCCCCCAGACACTTGGGTTCGAGTCAGGCCACGAGGGTCTTTCTCTGACCTTGCTGACCACCTGCTCGTGTGACGGGCTTTGCCCTCCTCTCCCCGAGGCGCCTCAGTTCCCAGCTGGTGCTCGATGCCTCTGAGCCTCTGAGCTCCCTCAGGGCTAGTGACGTGGCCCATCTTGGTATTTCTCATTGCCAGCCCCTCCCTCCCTGCAGCACAAGCCCCCGCCCAGCCCTGCAGAGATTTCATCCCTTTCAGCCTTTAAGGGGTGCTTGGGCCAAGTCCGCCTTCCAGCATGGCCCCCTGCTGGCCACAGGCATGGACTCTCATGGTAGCCCTGACCCTGGGGAAGGACGCGACAGTGAGATCTGGGCCAAGCCGAGGAAGCTGCAGTTCTCACCAAGGAGCCCCGAGAGATGCCCTTTTCCTCCTATAGGATTGTGGTGGCATGGACGTGCCCTCACTCCCCCCCACCCCGGCTCCCCCCGCGCTGGGCACTTTGTTGGAGAAACTTCTCTCTTGGCCAAGATGGAAGGGCTGTGGGCTTTGTAGACAGGACTGACAGACATAACAGAAGGGCCCCGAGATCCCCGGGAGTTCCTCTCAGGACTCAGGACTCCTTGGCTGGCATTCCAGAAACACCAGCTGAAACAAATGGAATCAATTCCTAGGACACAGCAGGGGATAGCTGACCCACTTGTTCGCATCAAGATGTAACAAACGTCAAGTTCGGGTGACTGCTGTCTAGTGGATTAGAGGTTCCTCATTTTAAATTTCATATTGAAACCCCTCAAACTTTTAAAGTCACAGAAAAGAAACGAAAAGAAAGTAAATCTTGGGGGCCGGAGTGATAGTACAGTGGGAAGGGCATTTGCCTTGCACGCGGCCCACGTGGGTTCGATCTCCATCATCCCATAGGGTCACTGTCATTGTCTCTACCCTCCCGTTGTTTATCGATTAGCTCGAGCGGACCCAGTAACGTCTCCATTGTGACACTTGTTACTGTGTTTGTCATATCGAATAGGTCACGGGGAGCTTGGCAGGCTTTGCCGTGCAGGCGAGATACTCTCAGTGAGCTGGCCGGGTTACTGCCAAGGAGAAATTCCTGAGCATTTAGGGTGACCGAAAAAGCCAAAAGAAAAAAAAAAGATAAACTTTTATTCCCTCCCTCCCCTCCCTTTCCCTTTCTTCCCTGTTTCCTCCCTCCCTCCTTCCTATCCTTAGCTTCCCTCCTCCCTTGCTTACTTCCTTCTTCATTGCCAAGCCATTATCTGGGCTCTGGGGTCCTCCCGCCCAGCAGTAGTGGGGCTTTTCAGCTTTGGACTGATCTCAGTATCGCCCAGTGGTGCTGCAGTTCCCACTCGGGCCTGGTGTGTACTCGAGCCCTTTGTGCCGTCTCCCCGCCCCTGGAAAGTCAGTCTTTCTCATAGGCTTTCTTATTTTCTGGTCACGCCAAAGTTCGGTCTAGAAAACGCCTCTGTTTGGGCCGTTTTCAATAACCACTAGACAGTCATCACCAGAACTGCCCGCGCCAAGGCCTTGGCTTCGCGAGCTTCAGGCAATCACGCTCACCTCACGCCTCTGTTCTTCGGGGTTGTGTTGGGTCATGGGCTTCTCATACGTGTTTTCTGTTTTGTTTTCCCCTTCCCGTTCCTGTTTGTCTCCTTGGTCCATTCACTCCATCCTTGGGACTCTGGTAGGCCGATAGCCTGGCCGAAGAGCTGCAGGGGAAGGGGCTAGCGCTTCGTAGTCTTCAGGAGAACTTGAACGAAAGCGGCCAAGCTGAGGGGCCGTGTGTGCGCGTGTGTGTGTGTGCATGTGTGTTTGTGTGTGCATGCTGGTGAGCAGAGCAGAGGGGCCGTGTGTGTGCGTGTGTATGTTTGTGTGTTTGCGTTGTGTGTGTGTGTGTTCGTGTTTGTTCGTGTGTGTGCGTGTGTGCTGGGAGCGGGCAGGGGGCCGGCGGCTGACGGTGGCCCCCGGCTCCCCACAGGAGGTGAAGGTGGATGTGAGCCGCAGCCAGTGCCAGGCTCTACAGGCCGAGCATGCCAAGGCCAGCGTGGAGAGCCAGGGGCAGCACGAGGAGGCGCCGCAGGCCCTGCAGCAGCTGCTGCTGCAGGCGAAGGAGAAGCTGCAGGCGGTGCAGGCGGAGAACGGGAGCCTGCTGCGGGAGGTGGCCGAGCTGAAGACGCAAGCCGACAAGGCCAAGGTGGGTGGGCGCAGGGCAGCGCCGCGGCTGATGGCGGCCGTGCCCCGTGTGTGTGTTGGTGCCCGGCCGCTTTCCACCACGCACCGCAGCCAGGGCTACGTCTCCTCTCTGGACCACCTGCTGGCCCAGTTCTGTGGCCAGCAGCCTCGTGTGCATGCTCAGGTCAGTCCCATTCCGGTAACATGGCCGTCAGCGGTCAGCTGCCCAGCACACACCAGTAGCCTGCTGCGGCTCATGGCTGCTGAGCTGGACAGAGAAGATAGCCCTTGCTGCAGAAAGTTCTGGAAAGTACATGGCGGTTCAACTGTGGTGTGCATTGAGACTCAGAATTGAAAACGCACAACCCGTTGCTGATGGGCAGGGAGAGCAGGTGAGGGAAACCCTGACCCATGTGTGGCCAGTCCTCCTGAAGCCCCTGGGCACCTCCCAAATGACTTCGAACACTGCCCTCCCATTGTTCATCGATTGGCTCGAGCGGGCCACTAATGTCTCCATTTTGAGACTTGTTACTGTGTTTGGCAAGCAAAAACTGTTGGCTTCAGTCTCCAAAGCTTGGTGGATTCGTCTGGATTTTCTATAAAGTGGATAACTTTTGGGGCTAAGTCCATTTCCTGCCTCTGTTTGTCCCTGTGAAAATCGTTTGACAAGCAGTGGTTGCTTTTCCCTTCCCCTCCTGCACAAAGTTCCAAAACAAAATACTTTTTGTAGTTCTTTGAATTGTATTGAAAACTAGTTTTTGAATGCATCCCTTCTAGGACAGAGTGATGGATTTTATAATAGAAGAATTGAAGTGGGGGGAAAAATCTTATGCCCCAATGTCAAGATCCAACTGTACTTACACCTTCCGGGGAGCTGTCAGGAATCATTTCAGACGGCATTTCAAAAATCAAATCGGCTGATAGTAGAATGGGTAGGGTGCTGCCTTGTACTTGGCCAACCCGGGGTTGATCCCCAGCATCCCATATGGTCCTCCGGCCCTGCCAGCAGTGATCCCTGAGCACAGAACCCTGAGCGAGACCCGAACACCAGCCAGTGTGGGGCCCCCATCCACAAAATAAGCAGGTAGTTATGTTGACCCTAAGAAGCTAACTGTGTTTGAGCCTCTCCATCCTGCGTGTGTGTGTGTGAGTGTGTGCGCGTGCGCGTGTGCGTATGCACGCGTGTGCAGGTAAGACTACTCTGCCATTTTCATTTCTGGTATTTAGGCCACATGAAGTGCTTGGCTTGCTTGTGCCTGCTTGATCTCATTCTGGTTTCCATTCTTCCCCGCTTTTTGTTTCTGCAGTCCTTAACTTGCTTATTAAGCTCGGCCACACAAGAAGAGATGGAGCTGATGTCAGAGGATCGCAGGGCCCTGAGGTCAGAGAATGAATTGCTGGCGAAGGAGAAGCTCTCTCTGAAGTTACAAAGAGGGTGGTTTCAATTGAAACTCAGAGAAGCGGAGGCCAAAAACTCTTCGCTGCGGGAAGAGCAGAGGAAGCTCTGGCTGTTGAACCAAGCGATTCGCTTGGATAAGGAGAAGGTCATCGAGGCCAGGTGGGCCGCGGAGAAGCTCTGCCAGCAGGAGCGGCTGGACCGAGAAGCCCTCGAGGCGGAGAAAGAGAAAGTGCTGGAAGAGGGCAGGGCGGTGCAGGAGGAGCTCCAGAGGGTGGGTGCGGAGAAGGACGCACTGCAGGTCGCCAAGCTGGGGCTGCAGGCCCTGGTGGAGGAGCTGCAGATGAGCAAGAGCAGCCTGGTGGCCGAGTGCAAGAAGGGCCTGGAGGAGAGGGGCCAGCTGGAGGAGCATGTCAAGAAGCTGGTTCTGGAGAACCTATCCCTGGCCAAGGACAAGGACAACATCATCCAGAAGCTGCAGTGCTCCTACGAGGAGCTGGCTCGGGATCAGAAGTCCTCGGTGCAAGAGATCGAGGAGCTCACAGCTGAGAAGGAGGAGGCCGCCCGCGTGGAGTCGGCCCTGCGTGAGCAGCTGAACAGCCTTGGCTCTGAGAAGGAGCTGCTGGGCCAGAAGGCCACGAAGCTCCAGCGGCAGCTGCACTGGCTGCTGAAAGACCAGGCGCTGCTGGAGGCGCAGCAGACCGAGCTGCTGGCCGAGCGGGAGGCGTCCCTGCAGGCCCTGGCCTCCCTGGAGGACACCAGGAACACCAATGCGATGATGCAGAGTAAGGTGGGTGATGGTAGTGACCAGGGCTGTGTAGGCCCGGCCTCAGCCATGAGAGAAACCATATCCTGGGCCATAGTGATAGCACAGCGGGGAGGGTGTTTGACTTACACACCGAATTCCCAGGTTCAATCCCCGGCATCCCATATGGTCCCCTGAGCACCACCTGGAGTAATTCCTGAGTGCAGTGCTAGGTGAGCCAGTGCCCTCTGACCTCACAGACCCACCTTCCCGGGCTCGAGTGACTGCTGACAGCCTGAGCTGTTCCACCCTAGCCAGGAGTGATCCCTGAGCACAGAGCTAGGGTTTAGTCCCTACCCCACTGGATGTGGCCCCCAAACAAACCAAACTGACTACCCACAAAGGTTCTAGATAAGCATGTATACATACACAGACATGTACATATGTATATATGTGTGTATGCTTCAAAAGAGTCGGGGAATATCTACCATTTAAAATATCCGAGAATGATGCCGGAGCAATAGCATAGCAGGTAGTGTGTTTGCCTTGCACATGGCCAACCCAGGTTCCATCCCCGGCATCCCATATGGTCCCCAAAGCACTGCCAGGAGTACTTCCTGGGTGCAGAGCCTGGAGTCACTCCTGAGCAATGCCGGATTGTGACCCAAAAAGCCCCCTCCCCAAATTAATTGATTCATTAAAATAACAGAAGCCAAAAAGAGGGAAGCTGAGGAAGAAGGGGCTTTGCTCCCCTGGCACCCGTGAGAACCAGGGGCCCCGCACATGCTGCCGGAACCCCACCCCCACACGCTGCCAGCACAAGAGGTGATGCTGAAGGAGTGAGAGGCCCCATGGACAAGGACACATCCCTTCAGTCAAGGGGTCATGTCCTTGCCAGAGCCCTCCAATGCCCTTCCTCTTGCTGCTCTCCCAGAACCTGGGCTTCGGGCTCCCATCACATTGGCAAATCTTCACTTTGCCAGAGTTGAACACCACTTTGGAGGGCTTCTTCCCTGCCAGGAAGGTTCAGTCGCAAACGGAAACGCCCACCAGCATGTGGCTTTTCCAGCCTCTTTGCGCATGCTCTAGGCCCAGAGCTGCGGGAGTCTGATCCTCTGGGCTGCCTTCCTGCTTCTTGCTCCTGTCAAGGGAGACAGCTGGGTGTGGTCCTCCGGGGTTTGCACACTTGGCTGCAGTCCGGTGCCCGCACCTACCATCACCAGGCTCGGGTCTGGCCTGCAGCAGGAGTCAGCCTTGGGGCCTCCTTGATGTCTCTCCTTCCCCAACCCCCCTTCCATCCCACCCGGGTCTGCAGCGCTTTATCGTTTGAATCCTCTCCGAGGAAGGGGACCATTTGGGTCCCAGTGCCCTGAGGAGTTCCCGCACACCCTCACTTCCTGCACTTCTGTACTTAACAGCCAGTGGCCCTGGAGGGCACTTGTGGGCTGAAGTGAACTTTGCATGTGGGCTGTGCAGGTGGACCCTGTGTGGGCTTGTTGGGAACTGAACATTTCCATGTTTTGTTTTGTTTTCTTTTGTTTTCAGCTGGAGGAAGAGAGATCTGTGTTCCTTGGCTCTAGTGTGGGATGGCCTGGGCACTCTCAGAGACTGGCCATCAGAACTTGCCCTGAGGGAGAAAAAGAATCAGTCTGTTTTTCTGGTTTTATTTACACTTTCTTTGGGGGCCACACCTGGCGATACTCCAGGATTCCTCCTGGCTCTGCACTCAGGAATCACTCCTGGCTGCTCTCCGGTGGCCCCTATGGGATGCCAGGGATCAAACCTGGGTTGGCTGCGTGCGAGGCAAGCACCTTTCCCGCTGTGCTGTCACTCAGACCCAACGCGCCTGCCAGTTTTCAAGTGAAACATGAATGTTTGTGCCTACAGTCATGCTTACTTTTGTAAAGTGGGATTCCCCCCCCCATTCATTTGAAAGAAGTGAGTTTGGCTTTGTAGGAGAGGGAAGACCCCTCTTGACTCCCTGCTCTGAGAGGAACCGAGGGGTACCAGCATCTCCTCCTGGGGTCTTCCCTGGGCACCCGGGAGCTTGCGCTCAGGAAGGGAAAGGGGAGCTCTGGCTGCCTCAAACCCTGGCTCGGGGACTGGAAGCGGGGCCCAGCCTCCTCTGTGGCGGGCTCCCATGGCTCCCGCAGATGGCTCACCGTCTCACGCTCTCCTTGAACACAGATTGATTTCCTGAATTCCGTGATTGTGGACCTCCAAAAAAAGAATCAGGACCTCAACATGAAAGTGGAGATGATGTCTGAGGCGGCTCTCAAAGGGAACGGGGACGCCCTCAACAATTACGACAACAACAACTTCGGCCTGGCCACCTCATTCTCTGCACTGTGCAGAAATCTCCAGCAATTCCTGGGTTAGATAGCAAGCTACTTGTGAAACACCTACAATAACCAATTTACTGTCTTTACAAAGTTTACTTTTTTTCCATTGTGTTTTTAGATGAATGTATGATGAGAAATTCAACATTAATAATTTTGGATTTTCTTATCAGAAAAAAATTAAATGAAGGACCTGAACCATCAGAAGTTTATCATCCAGTCTGAATCTATTTATGTTCATTTGAATGTTTTCTAGTTCTGTTAAACGTGATAAATAATGTACCATCAGGGCTACATGTATTATAAGAACTGCTATAATTGTATATATGCTTTTGATGTATTTTCCTCTGGAGATTATCAAGTGTCTCACCAGTGAAAGATTGTAATCCATTGACATTTTGAGTAATAAACACGATTGAAATTGTTTCACAAACTATGTAAAGCAGTATTAAAATTTCAGCAAACAATGTTCTATATCTACTTGAATAAAATTATTTCTTTTTGCCAATGTTACCTGATTATTCTCCGGTTTATTT